TACTATCCTTTAAGAATTTTGTATTAATTTAAGCTAGTAGCTTGTTTACTTTTTAAATTTTTAATAGGTCTTGCAAATATTTCATTTCAATATCAAGTTTAATATACTTATATTACAATAATAGAACAATTCACAACTTGTCTCTATACTTTTTCTTTTGACACTAGTGAAAAATATTGTATTCAAGTTTACTTGCTTATTTATTTATTGATATTTAATTTTACCATTGTTATATTCTCTTGTTAATTCTTACTTTCTATGCAGTTATAGGGGACATGCATGAAATAATTAAAATACATCAATTTGATAAATTCTATTATTTAACTCACTATACTCTTCTTATCGAAGAACTTAACAAAGTATTAGAAAAATATTCTTATATTTATACTTGCAATTATATTATATTATATTACTATGCAAGAAATGTTACAATTTTAATTTCATAAAACAAGTAAACATGACTTGAAGTATCTGATATTTCAAAATTAAGTATCCAATACTCCAAAATTAATGAAAAAATAATTAAGAAGTATCCGATACTTTTAATAAGTATTCGATATGTATCCGTGAGTATCCAAGGAGTATCGGTATCCGATACGGATACGATACGATACGAATACATCACCCTATTTGAAGTATCCGTGATTCATAGCTTGGTAGAGCCTTCACATTGAAACAAATAACTCATCCATATCATTCATTCCTCTTTTACACATGGCAAATCTCAGGTTACTTCTCCAATCTTGTGTTCAATTGACCCTCTTATATGTTCATTTTCATTATGTCCTTCCATGCCTTGTCACCCATACATGTTAACATAATGATGCAAATAATGTGGATTAAAAATCCAAGAAACAACAATACTATGCACTCTTTTTGGATTAGCCTGTGCTTGTGAGACCACTTTGTGTGCTTTCTAAGTTGCTTTGGAGTCTAATCTGTGCTATATTCGCAGATTTGATGATTAATTCAGTCAGTTAAGTTCTGGACTTTTACTTCAAAAGTCATATATTTTTTAGTCATGTAATGATGTAACCACTTAGGGGCAAATTGTTGCTTGAGCTTATTTTATTCTGCCAAAAAGGAAAATAATCCCTCACACAGAAGTAAATCCATGATTCAAGTGTAAATATGACACTATACCGGATCATTATAATATCAAACAAAGATTAACTTGGTTAAAATAACACTCACTGAACAGCCAACTCCCTGGTTGGAGTAAGAATAAGAACTCGAATTGCTGGTGCACGTTTTGGACGGTACAATAATCTCTCCAGAGTAGGTAAGGCAAAGGCAGCAGTCTGTACAGAGGAACACCACCGGAAATTACTTTCACCAAATTGCCAATCATCAAATGCTACAATTTTTGTTCCTTCAAAACAATCATTAAACTTCATATTGTAATTGGCAACTAATTACAGACAAGACAATTACCTTTCCAGAACCAGTAATTGCACTCCCGCATATATCACGCCCCGATAAGGCCAGTGGTACGCAGGCTGCCTACAAATCAAATGCTATTACCTTACCAAAAATACATAACCAAATGCTATACACAAAGACTTGCAATATATATTGAAGAGTAAATTAGAAATAAATGAAGCCACAGATAAAAGAAGACCTGAATTGGCGTCGGCTTAGTGTAGCCCAATGCTTCGCAAGCTCGAAGCAATGGCCTTGACAGATTAAGCTCCATGAACGAATTCGCGTGGAAAGAGGTCCCTTCTGAGGGGGCAAAGAACGACTTCTCACCGGTGTAGGTGTTAGCCGCATCGTCACCGTCCTCGGATTTGTAATCCTCCTAAAGAAACAATCATCTTGCTTAGTTTTTAATTTGTTGTTTTTCGTATTAATTTGTTAATATTTAATTTTTTTTTTCAATTATCTCTTAATCACACTTAAAAATAAAATATTTATGAATAAATCTAAAAAAAATACAAAGATGTATTGAATTTTTATTTTTTGTATTTAATGAAATTTTTTTTTAAATACTAAGTGTATCTAAATTACGTGAATTTAAAAAATAAAAAAGATTAAAAAAATTATTTTAAAAGATTGTAAACGAAATATATTATGAATTATTTACATGGAGACCCCTTAAACTATTGAGATGTTTAACTTTGACCCTTTCTGTTACTGCACTATGAGTTAAATCAAACTTTTAAATATTTTTTAGACATAATTACCCTTCAACACTGTATATAACACACCCAGCAACACTCCTCTCAATTTTTCTCTTTTTCTATTTTATTATTAGCTTTTTAAAATATTCTTTCTACAAAAATATATTTACAAAGAATATTTTTAAAAAAAAATTAAAAACAATAATAATGAAATTGTAAATATACGGAGGGTTGAAGCTATTTTCATCTAAGAAATATTTAAAAATTTAATTTAACTCACAGTGCAGTAATAGAAGAGGTCAAAGTGAAATACGCCAATAATTGAAGAAATTTATTTGCATGTTTTTTATAATTTAGAGAATTAAAATAATATTTCTCACTAATTTTTATTAAGTCTATTTATATGTTTTTATAATTTGAAAAGTAAAATTAATATTTTTTAATAATTTAGAGATGTGCGTGTAAATAACTCTTATATTTGTGATCTAACAAACCTTGAAGTAGACAAAATCTAAGGTAAATTTACATGATCATTTCTGCAAATAAAACAGACCACATGAAAGATGACTCAGCCAGAGCAAGTTGGCTCCACCTATTGATCTCAAATCTTCTTCGTATGTATCTATGCCCCAATCCACTTGAATTGTTATTTTTCTTGACTCTGATTGGCTCTGCCTAGAGATTGAGACAAAAAGTGTGGTTTTTCAAAATCAACAGATTAATGTCATCATCCATTTATTGCATGCATCACTGACCAATCTTTGTGGGGTTAACCCCCACCAATATTGCACATACATTGAACTTTCACATCAAAGTGCTCATTTTAATTTGGGAAATTTTATAATATACTCTTTATTTTGGAGGGGTATTATATGTATCAATTATGATATTTATATTTTTTAATTATAATTTATTGTGATATTAATTATGAATTAATTATAATTAAAAAAATTAATTATACCTTGTGTGATATGGTGTTTGATTATAACTTATGATATATTTTTTTTAACATGTATATTATAGAATGACCATTTTTAATTATCTAATTTCATTTATTTATTTTAAAATTTTATATTATACCACATGGTTATATTATAAATGAATTATGAAATATCATAATTTCATTTTGTCAATCAAACTTTTGACATAAAGTGATAAATTTTATCCATTTCATTATTACAATATATTTCAAGCATCATTTAACCATAACTCATGGCATGAAATAACTCGTTGTTTATTATGTCTTTTGTTGAATGAAATAGTTAAAAAAAGTTTTTTAAGGAAAATGTTTATCTTTAAAAGATTTAGGATGTGTTTGATTTGTGTTTTGAGATAAATTTTTTGAAAATTTTTTGAGAAGAGAGTTTAGAAATTTTTTTGGTTTGTTTGGTTATATATTTTGAAAATAATTTTGAAATTTGAGAGTTTGGAATTATTTGATATTTTATTGTAGTTGAATAGATGCGTGTAAGAAAGAAAAAGTGATTGAGAAGAAGAGAGGAGAGAGGAGAGAGGAGAGGAAAAAAGTGATTGATTGATGTATAGGAGAGAAAAAAGTGATTTTGAAAAAAAAAATTCAAGAAATTTAAACTAAACAAAATTTTAAATTTTTTTCTCAAAAATTATATCTTGAGATATAAACCAAACAAGTCCTTAACTTCTTTTAAATTGATCATCTATAACACATTGGCACTCTCTTTGTATTCCCCCACTCATTCTCCTATCATACTTTATATTCTTTTCAATTTTCTTCTCTTTATTTATTTTTTTTGATGATTGAAATTTATAATTTTTTTTATATGTTTCCTTTAAGAGAGATTTATTTATAAATCTAACTTATAACCCAATAAATTCATAATTTTTTTTTAGCATTCTACCTAATTTCATATATTTAGACTTGTATCCCATGAAATCCTTTTTTTCCTTATTTATAAAATTTTTTGGACTAATATACCCTTTGTAAACACCTCCATTTTGACGAACGCTAAGATTTCGAGTGTTTGTAAGCTTTCTGATGATGAAATGGTAATTTCTTATTCCTTAGAGATGCTTAAGGTTGGCAAGAGCTGTTGTGTAACCTCGTTTTGGCCAGAATTCAATTTTTTGCAAAAATGACCATTTGCCCTTAAACCTATTTTTTTTTATCCAAAATTAATTTTTTGATCTCTACTAAGGAGGTAGAGGTCCATTTGAGTTTAAATTGCATGTGGGTATGCATTTGGTAGGGATTCATGTTCAATAATGTTTGATGGGAATGTATGTTCAGACTGAGATTGCTTAATTAGAAGTAAACTTTCCGTCCAAATAATTGTTAACTTTTATTTTATAATTCCACATCAGAAAAAGAAAAAGAAAAAAAAAAGTGAGTTGTTTTACTTATATAAACTGAATCTTAATAGTGTAATATTAAATACTTCAATTCAAGACAGTTTAAAATTTAAAATAAAAATAACATTTAAAAGTTCTAATTAATTAATTTCTAAATAAGTTGGTTGGTCATTTGACCTAACTGATTAGGCTGAACCATTTTGGCTGAACCATTTAGTGAAAAGCCCTATAATCAATACTTTTTTTTTTTTTGATTTTCTTAATTTTAAACAATTAAGAAAATCTTCATTGGTTAGCTTCCATTTAACTTTTATTTTACAATCCCACATAAACGTTTTGATTTTAATGAGATTTTGAAACTTTCATAATATTTAACTTTAAAATAATTACAATCTCACATCGAGAAAAGAAATAAAAAGTGAGTTGTTTCACTTATATAAGGTGAATCTTATACTCTTATTTAATATTATAGTATTGTGCATATTTCAGTTCAAGATGGTTTAAATTTTAAAATAAAATTTAAAAGTTTTAATTAATAAATTTTGTTGTAAATTGATTTGAAATAAATTAAGATTGACCTTATTAAAAATTGAACGACTGAGATTGCTTCATTAGAAATGAACTTTCCATCCAAACAACTGTTAATTTTTATTTTACAATCCCACATCAAGAAAAGGAGGAAAAATAAGTTGTTTCACTATATGAACCTTATGCTCCCATTTAATATTGTAATGTTCTGTATGTTTCAGTTTAAAACAGTTTAAATTTTAAAATTAAAATAAAATTAAAAAGTTTTAATTAATTAATTTTTGTATAAGTTGGTTGGTCTTTTGACCTAGCCTATAGCGATTCCGGCTTTGACCTGATCCTTTTTGTATTCTGGACTCGGGTTTTATGGTTCTGTATTGTTACTCTTGCCTTACTTCTCTTTTCCTTCCTTAAATTTGGTTATTGGATTATAGTGGTTGTGCTTGTAACAGGTTGATTACTTAGTTTTCAAACTTTTGTTGCCCAAAATTTTACTCCTCCGCTCGAGCTACACTTCTTGTGCTTGAGCGATTTTTGTGAACTCTCAGTACTTTTCCAGGTCTGCAAAACTACTGGGAGAGTGTATTTTACGCTCGAGCGGTGCTTTATGCGCTCGAGTGGGCTCAGCTTGAGTGGCCTTTCTTGCACTCGAGCGTTGGTCTATTGTTTGCAAAACTACTAGGCGTATGCATGCTGCGCTCGAGTATCACTTCTTGTGCTCGAGCAGAACAACTTATTGTGTTTGATGCTTGTGCGTCACTTCTTGCGCTCGAACAGACTGTGCGTATATTAGTTTGTAGCAGCCACTTTTTACATTACTTTTTCATCTCTTTCTCTCTATAAAACATTTCAAAACCCTATATCTAGAGTTTCTCTCTCTAAAACTCATTTTCTTTCTTCTAAAACACCTAGATCCGTTGGGTTCTCGACCCTAGTGATATAGTTGTTAGAACACTTGTTTTAATTATTTTTATTTCATTAACTATATTTATTTATTATGTTAGTCATAATTTTTATTAAGGTATTATTATTTTTATTTGTAAAAACCTAATTCATCCACCCTCTTAGGTTGTATTTTGGGTAACAATCTCATATTAATTTTTTTTATTTTCTTAATTTTAAACAATTAAGAAAATCTCAATTAGCTAGCTTCCTTTAATTTTTATTTTACAAAATATAAAAAAATATATATATAATCATCATATTTTTATTAAATAATATATTATTTTATCTCATGCATAGCACGAGTGATATGCTAGTTATATATTAAGTAAAATGAGATTTCTATTGAGAAGAGTCTTGTGAAACTCAAAACTCTCATATTATTTTTCTAGAATTCTTATCTTGTAAACAATTAAAAAAATTTCTATTGACTAACTTTTATTGAATCATTAAACAAAATCATTATGCCTTGATTTATACATTTTAAAAGGAAAATTAATTAATCTATTTAAAAATTTAAATTTAAAGTTTTGAAAAGGAAAGTTAACTAATCAGTTTTAAAATTTAAATTTTTATACCACTAAAATATAGGAATCAATTCACATCTTCCATAGATTTTTTTTCTTGATGTTTAATTTTTTTTTTAATTAAAAAAATTCTATTGGCTAACTTTTATTGAATCATTAAAAAAAAAATCTTATTATGCCTTGATTTACACATTTCAAAAGAAAAGTAACTTAATCCATTTAAAAATTTAAATTTTTGTATCACTGAAATATAGGAATCAATTCACATCTTTCATAATTTTTTTCTCTTGATGTTTAATTTTTTAAATAATTAAAAACATTCTATTGGCTAGCTTTTATTGAATCATTTAAAACAAAAAAAATCTTATTAT